GGGCGCAGGACCCAGCCATGGCTCGGCTGCAAGGTGAAAGGTGTCATTCGTCTCTGAAAATCAGCTGTCTGGACAAACATACCAGCGAGGATCCTGTTCCTATTTTACATGGGAAAATGTTAGTACACTTGCTGTACGCCTAACCCCGAACCAGCTTCCCCAAAGTACCTAGAACAGTGCCTGCACAGCTAAGCAGGGCTCCTTCGAATGAGAAGGTGTGTGCCTTCGGCACCCGCCATGCTGCTGACCAGCGAGCCGCCGTTGACATTCGCTCCCGTTCTGTAGAGGGTGAGTCGCAGGCGGAAGTTCACAGGAGGGCGAGCCATTTCCTGGGTGAGTGGGTTCCCCAGTGGGAGGGTGGAGGTTGAGGCTGCCATTTGCTGGTTGCTGGAAGTGACTTGATGTCGCCCTGCACTGGGCTTGGAGCCCGCCTGGTGCTGTCAGTTTGGGGAGGGCGTGGCTTTGTCTTCTAGAATTTCGCATGATGATGGCAACCGGGTGAGCTGGACAGGAGGGAGGTGGGGCCTTCGGGTGTGCAGGCCCCATGGGCGGGAGCAGCCTTTCTGTGGCTCCTGTGTGGGCCCCCCTGGCCTGGTGGGAAGAGTTTTATTTAAGGATTATCACTTGATTTTTATTTTTGGCTGAGGCTGGGCCTATTGGATTGTGTGCCAAGAGGACTTCTGCTTGAGAGTTCTACTTTCACGGGTTTAAAAATAGCCTCGGAGCCGCTCCCTCCGCCCACCACCCCACTCCGGGCTGGCGAGCTGGCGTGTGTCTTCTCTGTGGCCTTGCCGCCTCCCCTGGATCAGGGTGGCTGCTCGCTGGTCTGAGGATGTCCCAGGGCCAGGGAGGTGCCCAGCAGTCCGGTCAGGTCACCATCCTGTCCCCCCGCTACAGGACACTGGCACCTAGGTGGGCCAGCCCTGCTGGGCTCCGTTGGACATCTGGTCACCGGGCTTTTTCCTCATTGCTCCAACTCCACAGAAGGTTCATTCTGCTTTGTCCCTTTGAAAGCGGGGTCTGCGCGTCTCTGCAGCCTCCCTTCCTTGTTAGGGCGCCTGGCATCTCCCACCAGAGCTTGCCTGGCCTTTAGAGACCCAGGCTGCAGGACCCCTGTGGTGTGTGAGGGTCCCTCTGGGCTCCCAGAGCCTGCCCGGGGCCAGGGTGGGGCAGGCTGCCAGATCAGGGATGTGCGCACAGGGTGTGGTGAGGGCGTGGTGAGCCGTGTGAGAAGCCTTGAGTCATACAGTATCAGCTTCTCGTTTCCAGCCTGCGTTTCCAGCCTGCCGGGTCCTCAGGCAGGCGTTCCGTGCCCAGCCCCTGGAGGCCGCCTGGCCTTCCCACTGCCTCTGACCAGGTTGACCCAGCACTCGGCCCTGGCCCTGGCCCTGGAGAGAGAGCAGTCCCTGGGCGGGGATCTGTCAGCCCGCAGCCTCTGGAGCATGGTTTCTCAGCCAGCATGCCCCCCTGTGGCTCTTGCCCCGGGTCCCCACCTGTCCTTTAGCCACTGTCAGGCCGGGGATCACGCACATGCCGGCCCACCACGCGGCCTCCTGGCCTGGCTGGGCGCGGGTGAAGCGGAGTGTCTGAGGCGACCAGTGCAACCTGGAATCCGCCTCGCGCACATCTGCGCAGAGGTCGGACAGGGTCCCAGGGCAGCCCCTCTCTGACGAGCCACAGGAGGTCCCACACTTGTCACACCTGTGGGCAGCTATGGGCTAGTCCCCTCCAGGGCTGATTTTCACTGTGAGGATTTAGAGAAGGTTGTCAGGGCCTCCTTGGAGGGACCCCTGCTTCAGGTGTGTTTGGGGTGCAGCAGCAGGTGGGGAGGGGAGATGGAGAGGGTGGGAGAGGGGAAATAGGGAGAGAGAAGGGGAGGGGAGGGGAGAGGAGGGGAGGGGAGGGAAGAGTGTTAGGGACAGGAAATGGAGAGATGGGGAGGGGGGATGGAGAGAGGGGGGGGGAGGGGAGATGGAGAGAAAGGAGGAGAGGGGAGATGGAAGGAAGGGAGGGGAGGTCAGTTGGAGAGGTAGGGAGGGAAGATGGGGAGGGGGAGGGGAGGGAAGAGTGTTAGGGACAGGAAATGGAGAGATGGGGAGGGGAGATGGAGAGAGGGGAGGGGAGGGGAGATGGGGAGAGGGGAGGGGGTTGTGCTAGGCATGGGCACTAGCCTCTGCTTGTAGGGGAGACCCGTCGTCTCAGGAAGCCCTGGTCCATCTGGGATGGTGACGCCCTCCCCAGTGGGGTGTGCGGCTATGGACGCGCGTGCAGGAGGGACTGTCGGCACCCACTCACACCGCCGAGGGCAGAAGGCCTGCTCGTGCCGCCCGCAGGCTGGGCGGGAGCCAGCACTGTGCCTGGCGGGCAGAAGATGGGGTTCAGCCCAGGAGCAGAGGGTCCTCCTTGTCCGCCTTTTGTCCTCTCTAGGCCCGCAGTGCCCACCTGTATGGGTCAGATGGGATCTTCTTTTCTCAAATGCTGGTCTGTTCTGGAAACACTGTCACCAGCATACCCAGAGATGTCTGACCGCACGGCTCAGGCACAGTGACAGGACGTGAGCACCACAGCGGTCCCGCTGCAGCCCGGAGCTGCGGACAGACGAGGGGCAGATGAGGGGCAGACAGGGGGCAGTCGGGGGGCAGATGGGGGACAGACGAGGGGCAGACGAGGGGTAGACAGGGGGCAGACGTGGGCAGACGAGGCAGAAGAGTACGTGCCCTTGCCCGAGAGAGGGAGAGGGAGCAGGCTCCCCAGCAGGATGGTCCTGCTGCAGCCCCTTCTGCAGTTGTCCACCCTGTTGGGATTTGGAGCATGCGCACATGCACGCAGCGTGTTTGTCAAGTGCTTGGGCTGGGATTTGAGCCGTAGTTGGTCAGGTGGGATCCGGCTCCCCAGGCATGAGCCGGCCCACTCTCCTTTATGATTCCAGGCTGCTGGCGAGGCTTCACAGCTCAGCATTTTGGCCGAGCTTATTTTTCAGTCCAGTCACGGCCACCCTGTCCCCCAGCCACGGTGGTTCGCCAGGTCACCTGACCCATCCTGGCCCCTGCCATGGGTGCTGCTGTGCAAGGCTCTGACCCCGCTCAGCTCTGAGCCGTGCAGGGTGGCTCCTGAGGAAGGGATGGGGGTTGGCAAGCCCTGGGATCCTCACAGGCCCCTGCCCACTCAGGGCCCCTGAGGAGCATGTTGGGGAGGTGTGTGGGAACAGGGTCCAGACCACGCCCTCTGGGCACCTGCCCTCTGTGGGCTGAGGCAGGGTGTCAGGGCTCGGGTGGAATGTGTGGAGCTGGCCTCCGGGGCTGACTGCAGGCTCTTGGCAGTGTGGGCGGAGAGCTGGCCCAGCCCAGCCTCTGTGGGACCCCATCTGGGGCTGGTGGCTTCCACTCTCAGAGGGTGCTGCGGGTGTCCCTCCCTCCTGGCAGTGACGTGCCAGGCACCGTTCTGGCCCATGTGAGACAGTGGCTGGGCTCACGGGGTCCCGCTTGGCCTCCTCTCGGCTTGGGTTGCTTGCGATGCCATGATGGGCCAGCAGGGGTCTGCAGGCTGGGGGTCCCTCCCCGCCACAGGGCGGACAGTGTTGTGGGGGGTGGGGGTGCCCAGGATTCTGAGAAGGAGCCTGGCGGCCTCTCCCATGGTCCCTGTCGCGACTGGGACCCAGCTTGTCCCAGGTGGTGGGCACCTTTGTTTCCAGGAGGTGGAGGCTAGGTGGGGCTGAGGAAGGAGGAACAAGGCGCCACCCTGGCTCAGCCTGGCCTCTGCTGCTCCCCTGGGCATAGCCCAGCGGCCTAGGGCTGCCCTGCTTGGACAGCAGCCCGCCATGCCGCCTGCCCTCCCCAGGAAGCCCTGCCTCATCCCCTCCACTGCCCCGAGCCCCTGGCCCTGTGTTTGCTCCTGAGGACCCACTCCCACTCTTCCGGACTTTCCTGATCAGGATCCCAAGGGCAGGGCCCGAGTCAGGACTAAAGAGGCTTCGGTCCTGGCCGAGCAGCCCGGGCCCCGGTACCTTGAGTGCACGTGGGTCCCCTCCCGACACCAACAGTCCACTCCAGGCAAGGGGCCAAGGCTCTGGCCAACCTCAGTCCTGGGGGACATGAGAGCCTGGGGTGTGGGCTGCTGCTCGCATGGGGGTGGCGAGGAGGGGGCAGGTTTCTGTCACCATGGCTACGCCGTGATGGGTCCATGTGCCCAGTTTAGAAACGAGAAAAGGTGATTTCTGCAGCGACTAGCCCTGTGCCTTGCCTTTTCCAGCTTCTGTAAGCCTGCAGGCCTTCACCCGGTCCTCCTTCCACCCTCGGAGTCCCCATGTCCCCTCTGAGCCCTGCCTCCTGCCCCACCCCAGTGTCTGCGACCTCGTTCTTCCATGTGGACGGATCTCCCCTTCATGTCTGTAGCCCAACTGCCCAGGGCTCGGCATCCCGGAACCACCTGGCACGTGGAGGGGCCGTTGCTTTGGCCTCCACGGTGTGTGGTAGCGTGGGGCAGTGCCCTGCGGGTCTGTTCTGCACTGCTACCGTGTGTACCAGAGAAGTCCTCACCCTGCCATCGCCCCGGATCTCACCCCAGCCTGTAAGAGGAGCCCTCATTAGTGGTTTCTTCCTGAAGGGGTGCAGCTCGTCTGCGCGCCCTCAAACCTCAGAAAGTGCAGGGGCTCAGGGTCCGTGGTCCGTGTGTGAAGCTGACACCAACCTGCTGTTTCCGAGCTGGGCACCCTTGACTCGGTTCTCTGAGTCCAAGGGACTGGGCGGGCAGGAGCGATGGTCCTGGCAGGCAGGCGCATGGTCCGAATGGGCAGCAGCGACGGTCCTGGATGTTCCCCACAGAGGAGGAGCTGCGGAAGCTGCGAGAAGAGACCAACTCGGAGATGCTGCGGCAAGAGCTGGACCGCGAGCGGCAGCGCAGGCTGGAGCTGGAGCAGAAGGTGCAGGAGGTGCTGAAGGCCAGGTAGTGCCAGCCCCACCCGGGGGGCAGCTCCCACCTGGACCCCCAGCGCTGGGCTCTCAGCTGGCCTCTGCAGGACCCAGAGTGTCTGGGAGCGTGGGCCCTGGTCCTGGTGGGGTCATGTCTGGAAGGGGGCCGTCTTCTGGTGCCCCGGGTTGTCTGGGAAGTGGGAGCCTGTTGGCGGTGCCCCCCTACCCAGGGCCTGGGGCAGGGCCAGAGCGAGAACTGGCATGGCGAGCGGCCTCGTCCCCTGGCCTTGGCCAGCAGAGGCCCCAGGCTCCTCACTCCAGCATTGGAGAACTCTCAGAACTGAACTGGGGCCCTGGCCTCCCCCGCCTGCCTCTGTCCTCCCGTATTCACGGCCTTCCCCGGTCACTGCTGCCGACCCCTGTAGGTACCTGCTGCCCACACAGGACGCTTCCTGCCCCAACGGCCCTGAGGTGGGACCCTGGGCACCTTGGTCCCTGCACCTCCCTTGTCCTCCCGGTAATAGTGTGGAGGGGTGTTTGCAGGGAATCCTTGTCCTTGGTCATGGTCCCTTCCTCACCCTCCCCTGCCCACGGCAGCTCAGCCTCTGCCACATGGTGGCGCCAGCAGGACGCAGGCCATTCCAGGAGTGCAGTTACAGGCCAGCTGTGCTCCCTGTCCCCATGGAACCCCGGCCCCATCCCGCCACAGCGCCTAGCCCGTGCCTGGTGGTTGAAGCCTGGGAGCACACACAGGCCAGTCGCTTCCAACCCCCCGCCTCCCTGTCAGCCCCCCTCACTGCCACCCCGGCACTGCACCGAACAGGCCTTATCCACTGCCCTCCCTGCCTACGCCAGCAGCCCTTACCGGTTTGGGGTGCACGCTGCCGCCTCTGGGACACCTGGGCCAGACCCGGTCTCTCTGCAGGGCCAAGTGCCGTGTCGTCAGGGTCTTGAGTGTCACCGCCGTGGCTGGCTCCTAGCAGGGGACCCCTCTCAGCCTGACCCAGGCTGCTGGTGATCGGGCCACACATGTTCAGTGGACAGGAAGGGATTCCGTGGTGCCTCGTGCCTGCTCAGCCTCGCGGGTGCCCCTTGGTCCTCCACACTGAGAAGCTAGCCCTGTTCTCAGTGGGGGACAGGTCTGTCCTCCTCCCGCAGAGCCCGGCGGTCAGGAGCAGAGGCCGCCATGGGTCAGCATTGCCTGGGCTTGCTGTCAGGGCCTTGTTGGTGGGAGTCTTGAGCTTGTTTTGAGGAGGGAGTGGCCCCACTTAACTTTTCCCAGGCTAGAGCTGGGATGAGGCCTGCAGGTACTTCCCCCGCCTGAGGGGAAACTCACTCTGGCAAGACTATGGGAATTCAGTTCGGGTTAAATTACCTTAATTATGCAGAGAGCCCATGGCCAGAGCTCCCGGGGTAGGTGGGTCCCTGGGGGCCAGGGCAGAAGGACAGAGCTTCTCTCTGACGGCCCAGCCTGAGGCTGCCCTCTGCCTCAGGAACCATCTGGGGGCAGAAAAGGGAGCGTCAGCCTGTGACCCACAGTCCCAGTGCAGGCAGGGGTAGGGGTTGGGAACTTTCTAGAAGCCTCAAGGAGGGGAAGAGGTGCAGGGAAGATCTTCTTCACATGCATGTGGGTTACCTTAATTATGCAGAGAGCCCATGGCCAGAGCTCCCGGGGTAGGTGGGTCCCTGGGGGCCAGGGCAGAAGGACAGAGCTTCTCTCTGACGGCCCAGCCTGAGGCTGCCCTCTGCCTCAGGAACCATCTGGGGGCAGAAAAGGGAGCGTCAGCCTGTGACCCACAGTCCCAGTGCAGGCAGGGGTAGGGGTTGGGAACTTTCTAGAAGCCTCAAGGAGGGGAAGAGGTGCAGGGAAGATCTTCTTCACATGCATGTGGGTACACACACACACACACACCACGTGCACGTCTGCACGTGACAGGTACATAAACACGTGCGTATGCACACACACGCTTGGAAGCTGCAGAACACATAGTAACTGTGTTCTTACAAACTTCTCTTTTGGTTTTAAGGAAACCCCTGGAAATGACCTTGGTTTGAGCCCCCTGTAGTACCCAGAGGTGTTTCCCAGGAAGCTGCCTCCGTTTCGTGCCGGCCTGCAGTGCGGCCCTGCATTACCTTCTCCACTTCATCCTTCCACGGCTTCTCTGCCCTGGCTGGCCTGGCTCTGAGCCGCCTCACATCAGGGTCTGCACCTCAGCTGGAGGGGCTACATGTGGGGGACATGCGCCTGATACTGTCACAGCCCGCACCCGGTCTAGAGGACGGTCAGCGCAGAGTGGCCTCAGCAGCCCTCGCGGCAGGTCGGCCCTGTGGCCTTGGGTTGCTGTGGGTCTGGGAACACTGCCGTGCCAGGAGAGAGCCATCCACATTGGTCACTTGGAACTGTGCTGAGACACCAGCAGTCGTTGGAAAGCAGCCCCTGTTCCCATGAAAGCAGGCCAGGAGGAGAGTGCATGGTGGGGACTGTCCCACACGCTGCCCAGGCTGGCTCCCATGCCCTGGGGTGCCACCTGCCCCGTCTCCCATAAGTTTAAGAAGCGTTTTGGCATTCCAGGGAGGAGGCCAAGGCCCTGCTTCCCCACCTTGAACACCTGCCCCAGCCTCGAGCCTTCCTGCCCATGGAGGCTCACGGTGTGTTGAAGGCCAAATGGCTGCTCTTTCTAGCAGGTCGTTGTGCTGGGAAAAGCCGGCACAGTGGCTGTGCATTAGGAGATGAAGCACACGTGCCACGTGTCACCTCTGCATCTCGGGAGGTCGCACTGGAGCTCGGTGAGGCTGTGTGCAGCAGGCCTTCCGGCCTTTGTGTGGCACACGTGACACGCCAGCACCCAGACGGGCAGGAGCCAACTTCTCAGTGCACCCTGATGGGTCGTGTCTAGAAGCCCCGTGTTCAGTGGGGGAGTGCCTCAGTCTACTGCCTGGGAGCAGAGGGAAGCCTAGGCCCTGGGGTCTCCTAGTGCCCTGGGCGCAGTGGACCCACTGTCAGTCCCATGTAGATGTGTCTGGACGGCGCTGCCCCCACTGGGCTGCGGGGCACTGGGGGCTGAGGCCTGGCCCCTCTGCACTGCCGGTGCCCCTTGAGATTCCACCTGCACAGGACGTCCGTCTTCCACCCCTCCGGTGTGGCTGCATGGCTGCGGCCTCCGCCCAGGGCTCAGCACCTGGTGCCGGTCTATGGGATCAGGTGACGTGAACAGAACAGAAACCCCCCCCTTCTCAGCAAGGCCCCATGAGAGGAGCACTCACCCAGCCCCTGCCCAGGACGCCTGGGGTCTCGCCAGGCCAGGAGCCCTCAGCCTTGGAGCCGCCTGGGAGCACCTGAGGCCCCAGTACAGGACAAAGTGCCCAGCTGGCTGCAGCAGGGGTGCAGATGGACAGAACCGGGACCGAGTCCAGCCAAGGGATGGCCCAGGGTCGAGTCCCTTGGGGTGGGCAGCACAGGTCTCTCTGAGAGTCAGGACCTGATAGACCCAGGGCATGGACGGAGCCCAGTGACAACTGTGACAAGGGTGTGGCTGGGCTGAGGGACAAGAAGCCGGGCAGGTGGCTGCATGGGCCAAGCTGGCACCGGGGTACAGACAGCTGGTGGCCGTCACCCCGCCTTGGCCTCTCGGGCTCGCTGTGGGGTGTGCGTCGCTGTGTGTGTCATTAGCAGACAGCGGTGATGTGGCGCTCTGAGTCGTGGGCGTGCCCTGAGGGGACCTGGTAGCGGGGAGCGGCTGTGTTTATGAGACCCCGCTCGGTCATTGAAAACGACAGTGCCTGTTAGGGATGTAGCTCTGTGCTTGCCGTCACCGCTGCAGCACATCCCAGCGTGAAGTGTCCCCAGGGGGCTCACTGGTCCCAGTGTGAGGTTCCATGTGCACCCTGGTTCTGTGGGTCCCTGCCCGTCCCCGTGTACAGTCCCCCTGAGCCCCGGGACTATGCCAGTCAGCACGGTGTTTACGCGAGGTCCCTGCGTACGGTCCCCCTGAGCCTTGGGGTGTACACAGCCAGATCAGCACAGTTTTTTTTTTTTTTTTTTTT